GTCAAAGCAAGTCTTGGGTTTGAACTGTCATGTTTGTTTCAGGTTAGGTTTGTGTGATTGGGAGTGAAATAAATGGTGTGTGGCCAAGTGGCCTTGTTGCACAAGAAAGAATCCGAGGAATCAAAGAGCTAAAGTCCATTTAATGGGCCTAGATGGGCCGGACCTGTTGGGCCTATAGTATGATGGGTTTTGGGTTATTGGTTTGTTCAAACCGAATCGGACTTTCTCAAAGGGTTGAGTTGGGTGCACGTTTTCGCATTAGAGACTTTGAAAAGGTCATTGGTTTGATTTGGGTAACTTAGATTGATGTGGTTTATCGATTTTGGTTGTGCACCCTAAGGAAGGATAAAAGAATGATATTTAGAAAGTGAAATTCAATTTAAAGAATTTTTTTTTTTTTTTTAAACATTGAATGCAAGAATTATTTTTACAGTTTTTAAATAGAAAGTTGATATATTTCTATCTTAGGATTATAAATTACTTTCTAAAGTATAATTAAAGGTTTAAATGATTATAAAATATATTTTTTTTTTGTCAAATAAGGTTTTTGAATTTTTTTGGAGGGATCAGGTGGTTTTATATAGGTGACAAGCCAATTTTGGCGTGGGAGAGGATAAAGGAATAAAAGTAGGTAAGGTGGTGAAATAATTTTTATGATTAAGATATATAATATGTTAATAAAACTTTTTTTTTTTTTAATTACAGAAGAATCACACGCGTCACATGAGTTAAGATTTGCACTCTTTTATTATGCTCTTTTTAAATCTAAATTGCATTTGGCTTATGTGTTAATTTCTTAATATGATAAATTTTAAACTTAAATGATATATTTATTTATTGCGTTACGTTATGTGCATATCCAAACGTTAATGAAATGGGCCTAAAGGTGTGATTGAACATGTAAGCAAATTAGCCACTAATTGGGTGGCTAGCAAAAAGAAGGATCTAATTGATCTCTCAAATTCGAGTTTCCTTGATGGTAAAGAGCAAGAAAAATATCTAATATGGTTTTCAAGAAGAGGATCTAACATAGTCTCTCAAGTTTGAGCCCCTTGAGGGTAAAAAGTAAGAGAATGATTTAATATGGTCGCTCCGAGTTCAAGTCTCCACGGTTGCTAATAAGGGAGGCTACCGAAACTCGGACTCAATCAGTAGTTCTAGGGTCTAGGAAATTAGTAAAAGTACGCGTAAACTGATCGAACACCCGTAGTCATAATATTAAAAAAAAAAAAAAAAAACCTATCTCCTTATCGCGTGTAACTTGTGGACAAAAAGCCTACGGTTGCTACGATTGTTATAGGGGAGATCATTGTGACTATACCCAGTCAATAGCTTTAAGGTCTCGAAAAATTAGTTAGATATTCGTAAATTAACTGGACACCTTGATTATAATATAAAAAAAAAAACAAAAAAAAAAAAACATCTCCTTATCGCGTGCAACTTGTTGGACAAAAGCCTAAACGTGATGCAGCACGGGATGGATCCATGCATTGTGGAGGCCACCTCAGGCTCCCACTAAGTTTATCCACACTCAACACACAAGTCACAACAACATTATTTTTCCTTCCTATACTACATCGTTTTACATGTGACTTTGAACAACTTACATGCATAAAGTTATTGATTTGATCAAATGTTGGTTATCAATTAATTTAAACACTAAGGGGGACACATGATTTCATGAATGACTTCATTCTAATATTTAATTATTGTTTCTTTGTCCTTGTTCCAAGGAAATTGAAAGCAATTTCCCACCAAAAAAAAAAAAAAAAGTGTTTTTTAAAAACATTTTTATAAAGTGCTACCAAACAACGATCACCTAATTACCCATAAATCTTAATAGGCCGTCATATCGTGGCTGCTTTTGCATGGCTTCTCCACTAACTATTACTTTAATTTAAGGGAGAACGACTTCTACATACCCAATGTTTGTCGAAACGACAAGTGGGTACTTAAAAGGTTTTGAAACGATAAATGGGTACCTTCCGTCATGTTCTGTTAGTGATTTTTGTTAGATAACAGTGAAAAGACTAAAATGCCCTTGAAAGTTTAATTTTTAGTTTTTTATAAATTTAAAAATTTCTAAAAAACCCCCTAGATTTGCTAATTTGACTAAATACCCCAATATATAAAAACTTGATAAAATAACAAAGACACCCCCCCACCCACAGTGCCAGATTCCGGCCACCACCGCCGGAATCTGGCCGGAAAATTGTGTTACGACACCCGTCGGATCTGTGTCGTAACATACCGATCTGGCTTTTTTCGGCCTCGACGGCCAGATCTGGCCTTTTCCGACCAGATCCTCCACGGATCTGGCCGAAAAATGCCAGATCGACGTGTTACGACATAGATCCGATGGGTCTGTGTCGTAACACAATTTTCCGGCAAGTTTCCGATCTCGACGGCCATATTTGGCAGTAGATCTGGCCTTTTCCGGCCAGATCAGCCACGGATCTTGTCGGAAAATGAAAGATCGACGCGTTACGACACAGATCCGATGGGTTTGTGTCGTAACGCAATTTTCCGGCCAGATTCCGATGGTAGTGGCCGGAATCTGGCACTGCGGGTGACGGGGGTGTTTTTGTTATTTTATAAAATTTTTATATATTGGGGTGTTTAGTCAAATTAGCAAACCTAGGGGGTTTTTTTAAAATTTTTAAATTTATAAAAAACTAAAAATTAAACTTTTAAGGGCATTTTAGTCTTTTCACTATTATCTAACGAAAATCACTAACAGAACATGACGGAAGGTACCTATTTGTCATTTCAAAACCTTTTGGGTACCAACTTATCATTTCGACAAACCTTGAGTATGCATAAGTCGTTCGGCCTTAATTTAATTTGCCAATTTATAATTAGTTCAATTGCAACTTTAATTAGTCTTTGCTTATACCGAACCCACGTTGCCTAAATTTTATTATGTCTTATGCCCATTTCATGGAAAAAAGCAATAACTTTTACAAGTTCTTTTTTCTTTTAATGAATCCAATCAATTTTCTTTTTGTTTGAAGTACTTCCGCGATATACAAATTATTATTATTATTATTATTTTTTATGATTGAAGGTGTCTGGAGACAACTTGCACGCATTTGGAATAATCCCTTGAGATCTTGAAATTAATGATCAAATAAACCATTCAGTGACAACGCCTCTCAATTAATCCATCGGGACCCTCAGGTTAATGATCAAGTAAACCATCCAATAGCCACCCTTATCGCAATAGATAGGGCTGTGAAAAACCGGGTACCCAAACCGGTTTAGACAAAAAATCGGGTACCCGAATATTTGGGTACCCCTAAAAAGATACCCGCAAACCGAACCGGTTTTTAGAATACCCGGTTTGCGGGTACCCAAATATTCGGGTCAAAAACCGGATACCCAGTTTATGCCCCGAATTTGATTAAAATTCATCATGAATTTTAATTTTTTACAAGATACAATTCCATCGGGGTATTTAATTCAATAATTTTACAATTGAAGAAGCAGCAGCAAAGAAGTATGTGAAAGGAAGTAGACTGAAGCCGAATGTGGAGAATTTTTGCAGTACCTTGAAGTCTTAAGAAAAAAATTTCAGTGGAGAATTAATTAATTAATTAAGCACCAACACATAAAACAATTCTATGCACTTCACCAACAAGCTAACATATGGGCACAACACGCTGATGTTTCTTTTTTATTTCCATCCTTTAAGAATCTCTTAAAGGTCCAGGATAAGTTTCCTTTTTATTTAGAAATTTTTTTCCCTAATAATAATGATCATGAGGGTTTCATGATCTTTACTTTTGGCACAAAATAATTAAAATAAATTAACTAAAAGAAAGTTAAGCAAAAGAGAGGGTTGGATATAGCATATCGCCTTTAATTTTCCCATAAATTAGTTAAAGCTCCAAAAATAAAAACAAAATATATTGAAAACAAATAAAAAATTGGAAAAAGTTAGGAACGACACACAGAGGGCAGCATTTCCAGACACAAGAAGCAAAAATCAGAGTTAAAACAGAAGGATGAAGGGTTATCCGAAGACAAACTAAAGCAGAATTATTGATAAAAAGAATTTCATGATACTTATTAACTGTAAAGAAAATATGATCTTCAACATCAGTCCACAAACGTACTGGAGAGTGGAGACTAGAGAATTTGAGAGAGATGAGTGCAGATTGTGGGACCTGACGCACTTTACTGGAGACTAGAGAATTTGAGAGAGATGAGAGCAAAGTGCGGGACCTGACCTGACGGCTGACGCAGTGACGCTGATGGGCTGAAATTTTAGGGCAATGTATTTGCCTATTTGGGGCTTTAGCCCTTTGAAAATTGAAAGTTAAAAAAAAAATTTAAAAACTGATTTTTTTTTTTTTTTTTAATAAAACCGGGTATCGGGTATCCGGTTATCTTAAATTAAATAACCAATATCCGAACCAAAAATTCAGGTATCGAATAAAAATTACCTGAAATCGATCCGAATTTTCGGGTATCCGAAAATTCGGATTCGGTTCGGATACCGTGTTCGGTTCGGTTATCAGTTTTTTTTGCACAGCCCTAACAATAGAGAGGAATCGAATTCAAAACTTCTTGAATAATACACCTAAAAATCTCTATCGTCCTACCTAGCCACTCAGAGGTGGTTGATATACAAAAATTATTAAAAACCCTTGATCTGGGATCTTTGATACTTTTACGGAGGAATTTTAATAATATTAGGAATTTTTTTATAATTATAAGAAGTATATAATAGTTTTAAATTTAAAATTAGGGAAATGAATATCCTATTATTTTGATAAGAACAACAATAAAGCACATGCATGTGAAGTGTAACTTCCTGAAAATTGTTTCTTGCAAGAAACCAATTTCTTCCCTCGTCATACTTGGTCAATTAGTTAAAGGCTTGAAGCTTCTTTCTCAATCAACTTTTGTGTGTAGTCAATAAACTACTTCCAAGTTTGGCCTTCAAGTCAATATAAGACTCTTTCCTCAATTCCCCACATCTATATATATATATATATATACAACATCCCTCTCCATGCATTATTCAAACACAAATTCAATTACAACACACTTCACCTATAGCAAACTTCTACAAAGAAATCACAACAAATGGAGCTGGATTTGGCTGATACCCTTATGAAAGTTGGAACGTTTGTCCTTGTTCAGGTTTTGGTCTATTTCATCCTCACAAACTCTTCTGATATCTTCTCCAAGAATAAGATGGTCAGATCATTGAGCTTCAAACCGGTGCGTTCAAGTAGCATTCGCAGGATTCTCGCCGCCCTTTCTGACTTACCGGGAGAGCCCTCGCCTTCTTCAAGAGGTTCAAGATCAAACCAAGAGCTCCCCATCATTGAAGAGAACGAATTTTATTGATATGATATGTGCTTAGATATTAATTAAACTTCTGTAAAATAGTACTGAATTCTTTTGTTCTTGATCTTGTATGATATAAATAGAAGAAGTCTTGCTTGTTTATTGCCTTTGAATTGACTTGCAAAACTATATCTAAAGATGTCTATATATATTGTTGGTTCCCATTTTGGTGCCTTTTGGCTAGCAGGCAACTTAGCCTGCAGCTGCATGAGCTTTTTCTAGGGACAAGACCTCCTTCTTTGACCACCCATGGATGCTCGGCCGCAACATCTGAGGTAATTCTCTGTATCGGATCTGCATATTGGATAAAGAAATCAAAGAAACTGTTACTAGTTTTGCGCAGAAAAACCTGCACAACTTCAAGGGGGAAACGAGGCAGAGGGGTAAAAGGAATCACCTTTACAGAGAAGGCGTTGAAGCAGATCTTTGAGCTCCGGATCGATCTCTTCTGGGAGTGATAGAGGACTATTTAGAATCTGTAATGAAAGAAGGTAATGATATGAAGATAGAACAAGTCGAAAATAAAGAGAGAAAAGGTGAATAAATGCAGCAAGAGTTTTACCTTTTCATAAGTTTCAGGTATGCTCTCACCAAGAAAAGGCAACTGCCCTGTTACAATATAGTAAAAAGTAACACCAACTGCCCATATATCAGCTGCCTTTCCATGGTAAAATGCATCTGTGTTATAAATTTTGCAGCATCAATGACCAGAAACTTATAGTTCAAGCATTGTAACGAGTCAAACTTTGCGAAATTCGGAAATTAGAAGGCTTGGTTTAATCAATTCAATTAGGATTAATATCTGTTAATGTACACACCTAAGTAGCACTCAGGTGCAGTGACAGCTACAGTCCCGGGGAATCTCCGAAGCTCATCGTTTGCGCCCTACCGATCATTATTTCGATAACAGTTAGATATGAACAATGAAATACTATTAACTATATCAAAAGTATCGTTCTCTTGAATGACCTTACCTCAAAGGCATGGCTAGAACTGAAATCACAAATCTTCACCCTTCCACTTCTAGTCACCAAAAGGTTTTCGGGTTTCATATCGCCATGGATGATATTCTGTCAAGAGTAAGAAAAGGTAAGACATCAAATTGAATGCTCATAATCAGAACAACAGAATGTTGAAGCAATGAAGAACATACATGACTATGTAAGTAAATGACTCCTGCAATTATATCCTTGAAGTAACTTCGCGCAGTCGATTCATCAATTGGTCCTGTTTTTCTAGATATCTCGCTGATAGTTTCACCTTCTACATACTCGAGTACTGCACAAAACAAAGGGGAAAATCAAGTGAAGGAGAAGAAAATTATTTTGAATCCAAAACATATTCATCCATGTAATATTGTCAATACCCATATAGAGATAATCTGCTTTTTTGTCATCAATCACTTCAATGAGATTAACTACATTTGGATGATCCAACATCTTCATTATAGAAACCTGCAACCGAAGCAAAGAACATTGGGCGAATTCATTTACATTGCTAAATTAGGGATTCAAATTTTGAAGCCATAACACAAATGACAAAAATGAACAACAGAAAGTCCAATCATGTTCAGTATTTGTTACAACAAATGCTTAATTTGACCAAGATCTATAAATCAAAGAGGCTAGCAAATCGAGTTTCAAACAAAGTAGACACAATATCTTACTTCTCTACGAACATTTGCCATGGCGGTTTCTGATTGTGTCACGCGCATTTTGCGCAGGCGAGATTTGCAAACTGTCTGCAAAATGTCACAATACACAGAGTTCTAGTAAGTTTATCAGTAAGAAAACTACACATTAAACAAAAGAAAGAACCCAATTTGGAGTCATCAAAAGGGCACAAAATGAAGTGTGACAGAAGCATTCTTTCAAAAACTTGCAACTCATAAAAGCACTTATTATGCAAATTACCTTGATAGCAAATGGAGTTCCATTGTTGATGTTCAGATACAATGCCTGCAACAAGTTAGAAGGATGAAGTTAATGCTAATTTTGACATGAATATAAAGTTAATTAAATAAGTTTTTTAAGTGTTTATTATATGGCATACCACTTTGCCATAGCTTCCACGACTGATTTTCCTCACTTTTACATACTCATTGATCATCTTTTTCCCATTCATATGCTGCAGTTTCACAGTTACAAATTGGATCAGAATTCACATCTAAGTTTTGCTTTTGAAGTTAAAAAGTGTTTTAGATGTATACTCTAATGATACTTCTTAGGTGTAAACTTAAAATCTGGAACAGAACTTTTCTTAATAAGGGTAACTCTTGCATGTAAGAATTGATATGATTTCATGAAATTTCGTGTTTTTTTGCAACTGAAGGACTAAATTCTACAAATTCTCACACACAAGAGTTAACTCTTATTAACTATCACTGAAAGACCTCATGGTAAAAGATCAAGAAAAGGTTTTTGAGTTCCTGAGTTCGAGTTGTCCTGGGCACTAAATGAAGTGGCTATTGGGCTTTACCTGACCAACAGTTCTAAGGCCTTAGAGGACAAACTCGTCCAAACACCCTCGGTGAAAAAAAAAAAAAAAAAAAAAAAAAAAGAGTTACTCTTATTTACATGGGACCACATTCAGGGGAGACAACTATTTTTGCATGATAATCACTAAACTTTCTAATCAAACAATCTTAAAAGCCTAACTAGACACAAAATAGACATTAAATTACCTCTAATGGCGCCATGCTAGAAAACCTAACCCAAAATTAAAAAAGAAGTAGAAGAAATCAAAAGGGCAGATGTAGAAATTACAAAAATATAAATTACCACAGCAAAATTGAGTGAGCTAGTTTCCTTGGGAGGAATCTTCTTACAAGTAAACAAACTTTCTCTTGACATATAAGGAGTTAACGGAGCTCCCTTTTTTTTACTGATATCCCTCTCTTCATCATCATCATTATCTAAACAATAATTCTGATAAAAGGGCTTGAAGAGCCACCATGGCTGAATGATGGAACTCTCATGGACTGTAAATGAATTGCTTAAACTCATTTTTTCATCCAACTTGGAGCACAGAAAACCAGACATAACTGCAGCTACAAACTCCTCTCCCCAGGTTGAAATTCACTACCATTTGCTTAGTTTAAGCCAACTTCATGAAGAACGAATTTTTTTTGCTTAAACTTGAAGAAATCAATGTTTTGCTTAAGGTTGGGGCTAAATATATAGCAGGGAGAAAAGTCCGAGGAAGAAGAATTTGTGGTTTAGTTTTGACTGGTAGTTGAAAGAACATAGTGCATTAGGACAATTTAAGTTGAGCTGTGCTAGGGACCATGCATGGGAATGTCACAATCTAGACATTGATGGATCTTATAAGGGTGCAAAAATCTCTTGTGGTCAATTAATTACCATTGTCACTTTCATGTTACTGGTTATGTTCTTAATCATTTAATTGGTACACTTGTTCGGTTTACCTGTTAGACAAATATAATTAAGCTGACAGATATTTGATTTCGTCGGGAGAGATGTCTCTGGAAACAGCCTAAACAACAGATTTCTTCCAGAGTGTTACGTTACCTCTATTTGAAGTTATCACTCAACCGATCTTTGGGCAATATTATTCTTATAATCTAATTTTATAAACTTTCTCTCACAACTTTCGACATGGTAGTCGCAATAAGTCAATTCATAAATAAGTTTTGCCTGTTCAATTATAAGTTGACCAATTATGAGCTATATTGTGAGAAAAAATTTGTAAAATTTGGTTGTGAGTCAATCTTTATTGTCGATCCTTAGATTATGATTAAATGTTAAAGTCGAGGATTCAAGGGTCTAGGTGAGAGTTAATGATAACGTATTAGAGTTATACTCTTCAATTGACCTTTGGATCGTGATAAAACTTTAGGATCGATGATTCGAGGGTCTAGGTGAGAGGTAAGGTTATCATATTTGAACCGCAGGATCAATTATTGGTAGGTAACATTACCCCTACTTGAAAACTTGAATCAATTATTGATAGAAAATGTTATCTTCATTCGGAACTTTGAATTATATGATTAAATATCAGGGTTAAGAATTTACATGTTCATGTGATAGTAATATAGATTTATATTCTAATTAAAGAAAGTATGATGTATCAAAGTATATTTGGAAATATCATCAATTCACCTCCAAATTTATAAACAATTCCAGCAATTTAACTTCTAAAAAATATATTAACCTCTTAACATTTTTTTTTATGACTGAGGTATTCGTACCAGCTTATGTACACTTAAATTAATTTTTAAGACCAATTAAATACCATACACGTCTAATATTCAAATAAAACACAAATGTGATAGCCTTATAGGTGACCCACTTTGAACCCAAAAAGGGAGCAAACCTTGTTAATATATTTTGGTAAAAACGTTATTTCCTTTAAATTTAAACAGAATAAGTTAACGATCAGTAAAAAAAAAAGGAAGTTAAAATCGCATTTATGAAACTAACAGGTGGCAGGTGCTTACTACAAGAAAAGCCAAACACGTGAGGGTTATGATCATATTTCTATAACCAATAGATACTCATTACAAAAAGACCAAAAGGGAAGAAGGTTTACTATAAAAAAACAAAAAACCCGGCTGGAAAAAATGAAAACCACCATTACACTTTCCAAAATAATAATAATAAAATAAAAAAAAAAATCTTTTTCATCAAATTAAATAATTTCAATAAGTAAAAAGACAGTTTTTTTTATGGGTGACCTTTATGTATTTAATATTTTTGATATTTTTCTCAATCATTGTGGTCCTGGTACGTACTATTTATTAAGTTACAAGTCAATTTCTAGTGAATAAAATATCGTGCACTATGATCAAGTTTTGATAAAGAAAAATATTAGACTATATATTCTCTGTGTGAGGAACATAAGTTAACACCTATACAAGTTAATTATCATGATCATGCTAGATAGAAGTCAATTTTATTATGAAAAACAAATATTTATTGATTATAAATTGATCTCGACTCTTGTTTACTAATAACCAGAAATNTCTGTTGAATTTGTATGTCTTGGTTTTAGCTTCTAGGTGATTGAGCGTACGGATTCTTGTAGAGTGAGACAAAAGAAGATGCTGAACTTGTACAGAGTACTGATCAGTTTAATGCTTCAAATTGTGCTTGTGGCATTTTGGCATTCAACAACATAATGCTTTTGCCCTAGTAAAAATCTTCTAGTGATTGGCTGCATCTTAATTCTCATTGTGATATTACCTTCGATGTTTATGTTATGAATCCCCTCAAAACGTATCGAAACTATTCTCTGTTCATGCCTGTTGATGCGTGATTTTGACACCTACCAAACGCACGTGTGAAATGCTGAGCTGGCCCAGAAGACACATGTGGATGAGAGAGTAAGAGTAAAAGCAAGGGAGAACAGTGTTTAAAGTGGTTCGGATGCTCAAGGAAGCAAATCCTATGTCTACTGATTTTGTATTAATAATAGTGGTCAGGTCGCATTAAGCGAGCTGATTTACAAATGATTACACGAGAGAGAGAGAGAATGCTATTTTTCTTTAGAGAGATTAACTAATCTCCCAAATGAGAGAGGAGCTCTTAATTTATAGTAGGATGGGTTAAGGTTATGATTACTAAATCTGTGAGTTGGTGGGATTATCCGTGCAAATCCTTCTTTATGTCCCATTGCCCACCTTCTAGAGCGATTTACGCGATTTAGTGCAGGGATTAGACACGTGGAATCACTCTAGCTCCCGGCTAGTCTGACGCGCACCCACTGCCTTGACAAGAGCATGCCGTTCATGTCATTGTGTGACGTGGCTGCCTTTGACTGGCTGCGACCTACCTAAGCTTTGACTTTTTATGTTGACTGGGTTTTACGTCAGCCCTACTTTTTCAGGCATAACAGAAGTCCCCCAGTTTTTAAGGTTTGAGGATCGAACCTTAGAAACTATAATTCATTCTGTGACTAGACGCCTTCGAGGAAATTCTGGAGATTCTGACTTGTTTGAAAAGAGGTCGAGACTGCGCTTTTGTGCGTGCGACCTAAGGGTCTTTGCTTAAGGATGAACGACCTGATCTCAAACCATACCAGTACTTTGATTTCGATTTTTTGAAGTTCATGACCTGATTATACTTGAAATTCTCCTCAGGACAAGGGATTGGGTTGTTTCGAAACTGAATACTCGTCTAGAGTCACATCGCTTCGTGATTGGCTAGACGAAGAGTGGTTTACGTAACGATCTCTTCAAATGTCACCTGTTGCATTTTTGTAATGGATAAATTTAATGAAACACCTTCTGCTCTAACAAACGTGTCATGTGCGCAATAAATGACAGCCATGCGCATTAAATGCGTGACATGCTGAAACAATATCCCCTATCAGAGCATTAAATGCAGATTGGGGCGCATTTAATGCGGAAGGAGAACATACCGTCGCTTGTTTCAACGGCGAAGGACGACGATTTGGTTTTCTTAGAGCATGATGGTCACCCTTCCCCGTGGATCTGCGATACGTGGTCACGATCAACGATGAGATACATTTTTCCACCCAAACGTCATTTGATTTCAGGAAAACCAAGTGCCAGTTCTTTTTGCTATAAAACCCAGGTTCATTTCAGGCAATGTCATCATACTCATCTTTTCAAAGAGAGCAAGAGACTTTTGCAAACTTTGATTCTTTGCCTTCCAAACTAGTGCGTACCTGATATTCGAAGCAGAAGGATTCATCTTCATATTCCGAGAGGTAAGGATCGCTTTTTGTTTTTATTTCTTACTCCCAGTAGCTGATAAATGATCTCAGTCTGTCGGTAGTTGATCGGAGACGAAATGTTCTTGCTGGGTTCGAGCCATGAATGGCGGCTTGAAACATTCTGTTAAGGTTTTTCTAGGATTTAAGAAGGGAAGTGTTTGCTTTCCTCCATGACATCGTACGAAATAGTGTACGAGGGCTAAAAGATTCCCTGCTTGTTGCTTTTACAGACTGTAGTAGAATGGACCCCTCAATGACCAGATCCGAGGAAGGGACCAGTTCGTCTACGTAGGATGCTCCTGTAGGCCTCATTAGAGAGATCTTCTTGGTACTTACTGAGGATGAGCTCGAAAGGGTGATAGACCAATACGCTATCCGCGTGGAGGTCTTCCGCGATAAGACGCACACAGGTCGCTATCCGCCACGTGGGTTGGCCACGATCTCCAAGGAAATCTTCAAGGGTGGGGGGTTGATCCCTTTCCACCCTTTTGTCAGGTCGGTCCTGGATCATTTCAAGATCGCGCTGATGCAACTCACACCAAACGCGTACATGATTGTCGTTGCCATGTACATCGCGTGTCTTGAGAACGGGTTGGGCGAGCTAATTGCGGTAGAGCTCGGTGCTCGTATATCCTAAAAAAGAGTAAGGATAAGGATTCCTATTACTTGTCCAGGTGACCTACTATAGCAGCGGAGATACACAATTATCCTAGCAATGCGGGGGCCTATGAGACGAAGTTTTTCTTCTTTCGTTATGACGGCCTTTGCCGCTTCTAGGACCCGAGTAGGTTCTTTTCCCTTAACGAATTTATTGACTCTGTTTCTTTTGCTAACGGTTTGTTTTGGTGCGTTTGGTTCAGTATTTTGGATAGGATTTTGGGGATAGGATTGGATAGTTGGATAGGGTTATGATTACAAGAATATGATTTTTAGAATATGTGTTTGGTTGAGTATTTTGACCTTGATATTTGTGTTGAATATTTGATTAATATATTTTTTTATAAATGATTTATTAATATAATATTTTGTTGAATTTTGTTAAAATAATGTATTATTATATATATAACTCATCAAGTTACATTTTAATAATACTAAATATTTTATTGGTAATTTTGTCACCCGTAGATATTAAGAAACAAAAACCCATATTAATTTCAAGTACTAATTCAACCGTTTAAAAACATCATATTCATACATATATGACAAAAGTACTAATTATCAACCCTTACAATCATTCTTACACATATACTCCATTAACAACTATGACATGGTCCACTGTGTTGCCCACAGTGCATTCGTTATGTTATCCCGTATAGTCGTCATGTTGTCTATAATACCTTGTTGCGGTAGACTCGGTCCTTCTCCATTTCGGCCATATTCTGTCCCGTTTTGACGATCACAATATATTTGCTCATTACCTGTATTATTATTGGTTTGTTCGAAGATACGGTCGTCCATATTGTGCA